TGAGCCCAGCACCTGGTGATCCAATCATCATCACCATCAATGATCATCATCAACATGATGTTTTACACTTGCTAGAATTTCTCCATGCAGTTGGATTGTGAAGCTCAAATACCTCTTTCCTTGGTGAAACAATGTTGGAATACGAGGACTCTAGTTCAAGGCCAAGTCCAAACAGTAGGTGACTGAGATCTTGGACAATGAGTAAAGCCAGCTTCGTAGGGTTGCTGTGAGCACTAATTGAGGGGAAAGCTGTGAAAGTACTTTGTTGAACCCATAAAGCTTGACTGAACTCTTAGGCAGAATGGTAAACTGCTATGATGCCATGTTTTTGAAAGAATTCAACTGAAATTTCATCACCCTTGGGTTCACATGAGTAGTCCTTTGCTAATATGTTTGTGGGACCCAGAAAGCCTCCCTTTGAGGAGGTTCAGTTTGCTCCTTCCTCTGGTTTTTGGCCTCCAAGACCATGTGCGCCTCTCCCACTGGCTGGCATGTATGCCGGGCCTGTGGTTCTGGTACCAGCAGTGGGATGGTGGCTTCTCTGCTGAGCTCTGGAGCCCACAGCTGCCAAGGAGGCTCAGCTGGAGCTACTTTGGTATTTGGACGTGGAAGACTGTGTGTTCATGGTGCATGAATGGATGGGTTGCCAGTGAGTGTATTCTGTTTGTTTATTTTTTTTAACTCCAGTTTCCTCTACATGTCAGCTTTAGAGGCTGATGTACAGGAGGCAGCATGCTGTGGAAGAAGGTACATGGGCTTTGGACCTGGCAACCCCAACCATGGCAATATACCTAACTACCCTGAGCCCCAGTTTTCTCATCTGTAAATGGGGACCTGTCTACCTTATAGGGAAGCACCTAGCTCATTTTCTGAAGTCTGATGGATCCAACACTTAGCCCATCATATGAGCCCAGCACCTGGTGATCCAATCATCATCACCATCAATGATCATCATCAACATGATGTTTTACACTTGCTAGAATTTCTCCATGCAGTTGGATTGTGAAGCTCAAATACCTCTTTCCTTGGTGAAACAATGTTGGAATACGAGGACTCTAGTTCAAGGCCAAGTCCAAACAGTAGGTGACTGAGATCTTGGACAATGAGTAAAGCCAGCTTCGTAGGGTTGCTGTGAGCACTAATTGAGGGGAAAGCTGTGAAAGTACTTTGTTGAACCCATAAAGCTTGACTGAACTCTTAGGCAGAATGGTAAACTGCTATGATGCCATGTTTTTGAAAGAATTCAACTGAAATTTCATCACCCTTGGGTTCACATGAGTAGTCCTTTGCTAATATGTTTGTGGGACCCAGAAAGCCTCCCTTTGAGGAGGTTCAGTTTGCTCCTTCCTCTGGTTTTTGGCCTCCAAGACCATGTGCGCCTCTCCCACTGGCTGGCATGTATGCCGGGCCTGTGGTTCTGGTACCAGCAGTGGGATGGTGGCTTCTCTGCTGAGCTCTGGAGCCCACAGCTGCCAAGGAGGCTCAGCTGGAGCTACTTTGGTCTGAGTCACGGCCTCTGGTTGGAACAAGTTGGACATATCTTCTCAATCACAAGTATCTCCCTGGGACCTGCTCAGTGCTCACCACTTTGCAAGCTGCCAGGGGTGGGTGGTGGCTCGGAACAGTTAGTCCCTTCTCCCGAGGACGTTATTTTTCCAGTGGGGCGGTTATCATAATGCATTTCATAACAATGTTAGTTCTTCAGGACTGCCTATCATTTAGGGCTTAATTGATTGCTAACATGATAATTACTATAAAATTCAAAGTAGGGGGAGTTCAGAGATGGTTAGCAGATGTAGAGAAGGTTAATTATTGGTTATTCAGGGGATACTCATGAAAACATTCATTAGTGCTGTTCAGGAGAAAGAAAACAGTGTCAGCAGAGTCGCCCCACCTGGCAACTTCATGGAAAGGACAGGCAATCCAAGAGAGCCTTGCCTCAGGACAGAATGGGCTTTCAGAAGTTCATCCGGGTCAGCACAGCTGACCAAAGTTGACATTGTGTCTCCAAGGACAGAATTGTGGCTTGGAAACTCAGGGTGTGAATTCAACCTCTTGCTTTTGCATTTTACGTTCTGTGTTACATCTCTTTCTCTTTTTGTTGCCTTAATTTTGGTCTTGAACTCCATCAGACACATGCAGAATATTCACCATTACCCAACCAGTAAATTTGGGGACACACTAAGGGAATCAGACACTGACCTGAGGAACCCTGGGTTCTAATCTTAGCTTGGCAGTGGTTCTGCTCCTTGTTCTTCAAAGTGTGGCCAGTTGATGAGCAGCATTACCCAGGAGCTGGTAAGAAATCGAGAATCTCAGGCCAACCTAGACTTGTGAATCAGCATATAAGCTCCCCAGGTGATTCATGTGCACATAAAAGTTTGAGAAGCATTGGCCTAAATGGGAAGGTAAGGGCTTTTTAAAATCTTAACTTACTATTTTGCATCCTTGGTTTCTATTTGAAGTTTAGCACATGGTAACTGTAAAATCCATGAACCTCCCTTTGACTTTGGTATATCTGAACTTCTAGGGACTTTTTAAACATCTAGGGACTTAACTGTAAGGCCATGCAGGGACGGCATGATTTATGGCAATGGGGTTGGCCTTCAGTGGTTGAAAGACTGAAGCAAGCATTTGAATTACAGGTGGTGGTAGTTTTAACATAGATGCCTTTGACCAACTAAGTCAAAATCTCTGATGGTCACAGGATTTCTGTGTTTTTAAAAATTTCCCTTGGTGTTCAAGAATGTTTATTCTAGTGTTATATATAATAATAAAATATTTATCCTGTAAGAGGAAATGGGTAAATACAATGGAATACAATTCAGAAATTTAAATGAATGAAATAGAGCAACATGTATAAACATGAATAAATGTAAAAAAATTTTGAGAGAATAAAGTTGTAGAAGGATGTGTGAGGCATGGTACTCTTTATTTGAAGTTCAAAAACATTCGAACATATGTAATGGAAACACATATGTAATAAAAGCGTGAAGATCTACATGGGAATGAAAAGCACCAAGGTCACGGTAGTAGTTAATGTTGAGAGGGAAGAAGGGGAATGGATGGAGCTTTAACATGTTTTATTTCTTGAAAAGGAAAGAAAGGGTAAAGAAAAAAGGTTGCAGCAGGAAGCATGGAAAAATAAGATATTTTTCAAAGGAATGAATACATAATTATTCATGGTACTATTCTGTATAATTTTTCAGAATGCTTAAAATATTTCACTATAAGATGACTAAAACAAAACTCTCCCAGTAATTGTGGTGCACACCATTGGCATTTGGGAATTCTTGCCTAAGATGCTCCTAACAACCTTTCATTTGTATATGTTGTTTGCATCCAGAGAACTCTCTCCCAGCCAACCTCTCCAGTTCTCATAGCACCTTCACGGACCCTTCTGTTTAGTGGTAGGACTTACTTATGTGAATCCCTAGAGTTTTCATTGCCTACCCCAAACATTACCATTTCCAATCAGTTCTCTCATCTCTGTATCTGCTTTTGTAACTTCCTTTCTATGCCAGAAGCATCCCTAAAGTTTAATTAGTAAGGGTGACATCTGTTAGTTTGTGACCTAGGGAACGTTAAGTAGCTCCCACAGTTGGTGCCAAAATGGGCTTTTAAATTATATTACATCTTCTTCTTCTTATTTTTAATATACTCTATAATAGTGGTTCTAAACCAAGGATGACTTTTTTTTCCCTAGGGACATTTGGCAGTGTCTGGAGATATTTTTGGTTTTCAAAACTAGGGGAGTGTGACTGGCATTGAGTGGGTAGAGGCCAGGAGGGCTGCTAATCCTGTAGTGCATGAAACTGCCCCATGTGCATAAGAAAGAATTATCCCCAAATGCTCAACATGTCCAGAGGGCTACGGGTGTGAAATGCTGTCCTACAGATCTTTGTGCCATGCAGATCCCCTGTCACTGAGTGACAGTGGATGGGCCTGCAGCCAAGGGTGTGAAACGAGATCCTACAGATTTTCATGCCATGCAGATCCCCCATCAGTGAGTGACAGTGAATGGGCCTGAAGCCACGGGTGTGAAATGCTATCCTACAGATCTGCATACCATGCATTTCCCCCATCAATGAGCGGGAGTGGATGGACCTGCAACTCCTTTGGAAGGGACAGTGGAACAAGGGATACAGGAATCCTGTGTGTATATGTACAGACCATTCCTGTAGCACCTTCATGGCATGCTGGGGGCTAGGGAGTTGGTGATGTTGGAGATGGAGGATGAGAAGGGATTAAGGAGATTAAGGAAAAACTGGAGCCAAACAAAATCCAGGGGGTGGGGAGAATGAAGAGAAGCTGCCTCTGATGCCTTTGAACTTGGCATTTTGCCATCGACAGCACTGCCATGCTATAGAAACACCAGACAGCTCATTTAAAAGTATTCCCAATGTAAAATGCGGTAGACAGTTATAGTGATGGCTCCTAGTGAGTCATGAAATCTCTGTCCACATGCGTCTGAAGTGTGGTTTTGCCATTCCTCTCTCAAGAGGTGGAATCCCTTTTCCCACCCCGTGACTCTGGGCTGGCCTTGTCACTTGCCTTGACCAAAAGAATGTGGAGGGACGTATGGTGTGCAACTTCTGAGGCCATTTCATTTTGTTTTTTTCCCTCCTGGAATACTTCTGCCATCATGTGAGGAATCCCAGCTTGACAGAGCCTCTCAGAAAAAGGCCCCTCAGGCCCCGCCCTCATCAGACCCCACCCTCAGGCCCAGCTGGCCTTCCAGCTCATTGCAGCTCTGACCGCAAACTCGGTTGAAATCAGCTCACCCACCCAGCCAACCCATGGAGGAATGACAAATAATAAATTGTTGGGTTTTTAAACCACTAAACTTCAGGGTGGTTTGCTACACAGCAACAGATCACTACACATGGCGCGTCAGTGACTTCATTTAAAGCAGGGGGGTGTAATGACCTTAGAATATGTGTGTAAATATCAGATCATGGCTGAGAGAAACTGAGTTCTTCCTCCTTTCTTTCTTGTAGCACTTCTCAGAACTTCTGGATGAGTTTTCCCAGAACGTCTTGGGTCAGCTCCTGAACGACCCTTTCCTCTCGGAGAAGAGTGTGTCAATGGAGGTGGAACCGTCCCCCACATCCCCGGCGCCTCTCATCCAGGCTGAGCACAGCTACTCCCTGTGTGAGGAGCCACGCGCCCAGTCACCATTTGGCCACGTCACCAGCAGTGACAGCTTCCATGACGGTAAAGTCGGAGCAGGGGCAACACCTGGGGTGGTGGCGCCTTTGACTTGAGCTCCTTGAGGGTGTGGAAGGTGTGTTCTGCCGTCGTCGGTGCCCACTTTACCCACAGAGTTATTCTGTGTAAAGGCTTGAGTTTGGGCTGCGTGCACAGCACCCCTTCTCTACCCTCGGCTGTGTACTCTGGGAATTTGCTGTAAGTGAGTGAGAGTAACTGCTTTCTTTGACCCTGTGGAGAGGGCTGCATGCCATCTTTCTGGCCTATTTGGTTGATAAATCCAGTAGGTCCCTTGTTTCATGGGGTCATGTCTTTTTTTCTGGAGACAGAATTTTCATGACCACTTTCTCCATGGAAGCTTCCTGGGTATCCCTTTTACCCCTTTCCAGCATGCTCCATTCAGCCCGTGTCCTAGACTGTCTTGTCGGTGACCTTTTTGTGCCCCTCGTCGGTGCTGTCAGTGTGGTAGTCATTGAAGGTCTGGTTTTCCTGGCTTTAGAGATGTTCAGGTGTTTTGACCATTACTCTTTAGGCCTTAATTGCTGTATGCTCATCTTCTAAACTCTCTAATGTAGATACACCTTCTAAGTTTAATTTTGTGTCTTTTGTTTTCTTAAAGGTATAACCAGCTGTTTGTCTTAGTTCCTTGAGTATGTTTTTAAAAACATCTTCTCTAATCCTAGTTTAAGGTTATGCTTTCTTCTCGCTGGAGGATGTGGTGGGGAATGGTCACTAACTGGACCTCTTCTGGCATGGTCCGGGGGCCGCGTCCCCTCCTCATGCCAGTGAACATGGCTGCATCTTTGGGAGGTGGCCGCCTGCAGAACAACCGCCCTCAGCCTCCCTTAGCTTAAAGGCAAATGCCTGCACCTTCTTCCTCAAATAGGGCATTAGCTTTGTGGGGTCTCCCTTCTCAGTGGGGTCCTTAGGCCTACTACTGGCCTCTGAAAGGACTAACTCTGGGACCAGTAAAACATCCTGTCTTGGGAGAGAGAAAGCTGTAGAGGTCTGTTGAGAAGCTACGCTCTTCCTGAGAAGAGGTGTGCTGATTGGCAGCCCTGGAAATTTTTCCTGATCTCCTCAGTGAAGCGAAAGCTGTGAATCTGTGAGTGGACTCTTCCCTGGCTGGACCCCGTGGAGCCTTATGCTCAGCTTTTTCCTGACAAGAGGTTAGGTGCATGACGACTTAAGCCTTCTCTGTAGTTTGTCTACTTCCTCTGCCTCAGACCAGGAGAACAGGGCAGTGGACGTGCCTGGGGAAGGAAGGGAGGAAACACGCTGAAATAATCTGAGGGTGTGTAGCTGTCAGGAGAGCAAATGATGTGATGTGTTTAAAGAACCTAGGACAGTGCCTTCCGCATAGCATTTCAATGAATGGGCTTCTCCTCTTCCTTCTTCTGTTGCTGTCGTGTTGTCCCCGGAGCATGGCAGCTGCTTCCCAAGGGTGCAGTGGTAAGCATGGCTGCCTTCCAAAGAGTGAGGCACCCCAGAGACCAAGAAAATGAGGCAGAGGCTGGATAACTTTGTGACCTAACCCTGCAGGTTATTCTGTCGGTCACACAGGCAGTCCTGATTCATTGTGGCAGGAGACCAAAGAGGATGTGAATACCAGGAGAGGACCTTGTAATAATGTCTGTAAAGTAACTTTTCCTCGTGTGTGAATTCCTTTATCAAGTATTATCAATTCCTTACAGTGTAGCCATCCTTTCACCTAGTGGTTCTTGAGTTCACCCACAAGACACTGAAGAAAAAAAAGGGAAAAAAATCCTTTTTTCTGCATTGCTCTCACAGACCTTATCAGGTAGGGAACATTAGAAATGTATACAACCAACTGTAAAGTGTCAAACTTGTGCTAAGGGTACTGGTTAAGGTTACTCTTTCTGCAGTCAGAGATTGTTTTATATTCTATCTGCTGACCAGCTATGAGCAAATGACTTAACTTCTCCCAGCCACAGGTTCCTCATGTGTAAAAGGGGGATGATAACAGCACCTATTTCTTCTCTTGTGAGGATTAAGTATGATAATATATCCCAATATCTAGTCCAGGGCCTGACGAGTAGTAAGCATATTCTTAGCTGCTGTTGCAGTTGTTATTATTCAAAACTAATCACTGTAAGTGGATGGTTGGACCTTAGGTGATCAGGAAGATTTTGTAGAGAGTTGTTCAACTTCCCAACCATGTTCTGCCATGAAATGTGATAGTGGGTCCCTAGCTGTGAAACTGACTGTTGGATTATTTTGTTGTTAGATTGTTCTTTATATGTCTGTTAGATTCCGTGAATCTGCTTTAGATGACAATCTTCCAGAGGGCAGAGACAAACTGTGAATCCAATGGAGCTGGTTTCTTAGGACCAATGAATGGAAATATTTCTTCAAATAGCAGTTAGGGTCCTTATAAAGTCAATACTCCAAGCAATTACATGGGGGTAAAGATATAGAAAGGTTCAAGAAGACTGCTAGCTATTTGACATTGTTTTTATTAGTTCCCCATTACAAAATCTGAAATAGTTCTCTATTGTTCTGCAGAATGAAACCCACCTCACACTATGGTTTTTGTGGGCTGAGCTGACCTGCCTTCCCCGCCTGGCCTCATGGCTCCCCGTCTGTGTGGCTCTGGCATTGCCTTGTCTGCCCCATGCCTTTTCTTACCCTGTTCTCTACGCTGAGCCCTCATTGCCTTCTCTGCACCATCCGCTCACCCCTACTGGTCAGATCCCCACCTGTTCCTCAGGACTCAGCTGATGTCACACTGTCCCATCTGGAAGACATCACCCTTTATGGTTTCATAGTACTGTTTTTTTTTTTTTTTGCCATTTGTGTGGAGACTATTACAGTTATTTTTATATTACCCAGCCATCCATTATTTTCTATTCTTCTATTTTGAGTTGATGGTGAGCAAGTGCAATTGTGTGTTCTTGGTACCTAGCATTGTGCTTGGCACTTTGAAGGTACCTGGTAGACCCTGACTTCATTGACTAAATTGTGCAGTGAGTTGCTAAGGGAGAAGGTATGGAAGGCTGAAGCATGTTCCTAACCTTTGGTGATGGCATTAGAGACAACACCTGCTCTGCTCTCCTGTGCATTGCCTTCCCGCTAACTGCAGACACACTGGGCTGCATGCATTTGATCAGGTGATACTCCTTGACTTGCAGCAGTTGTCTTGTACAGGCCCAAGCACAGTGCTGAGTAGAAGTAAGTATTTTTTAACTACCTTATGATTCATTAAAAAAAATTCATTCCAGAGCTATTTATTCAGTACCTACCTTGTGCTTAACTTGCCAGGGACTATGCTAAACACTGGGGGGTAAAGGAGTGACCACAATTTACAAAGATCTCTGCCCTTGTGGAGCATACATTCTAGGAGATGGGGCAGGGGGGGAAGAAAATAAGAAAAACAAAGTCATATGTATAGCTTATGAGATGGCAATCAGTGATATTTTTAAAAAATCAGAAAAAGGGATAGGGAGCTGCTGGAGGCAGGTGTCTTAGTCTGTCTGGGCTACTAGAACAAAATGCTACAGACTGGGGGGCTTATAAGCAACAGGCATTTATTGCTTAAAGTTCTGGAGGCTGGGAGTTTGAGATCAGGGTGCCAGCATGGTAGGTGAGAGCCCGCTCTGGTTACACACTTCTCCTTATATCCTCACGTGGTGGAGGAGGCTGGGGAGCATGTAGGGTCTCTTTATAAGGGCATCATCTCCATTCATGAGGGCCCCACCTTCATGGCCTAAGCACCTCCCAAAAGCCCACCTCCTAATACATTCCCATGGGGCATTAGGATTTCAACATATGAACTTGGGGGACACAAACATTCCAACCATGGTGGCACGTGAGGGGTGGGTGTTGAAATTTTAAGTCGAATAGATAGGGACAGTCCTTCTTTGAAGTTAACTTTTGGGCAAAGGTTAGCTAGAAATGAGGGAGAGAACGAAATGTCTCAGGAAGTCAGGAAGAGGCTTCTAGGCAGAGGAAACAGCAAGTGCAGAGGCCCTGTGGCCAGAGTGTGATAACAATATAGCAATCTTATATTGGATTCAGACAGTTACCATCTGTGAAGTAGTCGGCCATTCTGCAGCCTTGCAATTCTAGACTATGCAGATGAGAGATGGTCTGAACAATCTAGGCACACTAACTTTTCCCTTCAGTTCCACATATGTTTGTTGAACACCTGCTGTGTGTCAGGCACCATCCTAGATTCTTGTGGGACACATAGTAAAATTAGATCTCGCCTATAAGTAACTCAGAGTCTCACGAAAATGCTAGGTACCCCAATACTTTATCAGACAGAATGTGAGCAACATCCTAACAGGAAATTAAACTGTAAATTCAGAGCAGAAAGAGTATACCCACTGAAGAGCACGGGAAAAGTTGCATGAAGTGAGGCAGAGTTTATTGGGGCCTTGAAATGTTGAGTAGAGTTGAAATAGTGCCAATGGTTAGAGGAAAGCAGGTGGAGGGCAAAGGGCTAGGCCATCTTTTCTTCTAAAACAAGGTCCCTAGTGAAATGATTGCAAATAAGCAGATTTCTGAAAGTTCAGTCTCTTTTCCATGAGGAAATTCCTCCTTTGTTTTTTTAACTCTAATCAACATAAAGGCAACATACAGGAATTCATGGGGCCACCTATGCCCATAGCTTAGTGTGGGGAGAAGTATTAAGTAGATATTTGCCAGGAAGGCTTTCATCATTAGGCCAAAACACACACCATTCAGTTCCCACAGATGGTGCCTTGTTCTGTTTATAGATCCTGTGCTACAATAGGCCAGGCTAGTACTTTGCTCAGAACAGGTACGACAGGTCAGATATGTTTTGCAAAGACTTTCTGATCCACAGTTCATCTTCAAGTAGCAATTTTTCTCTGAGTAAAAACCACCTTCCAATGCCAGCAAAAGCACTCTTATGAGTAGGGGCTACTGAATATGAATGGCAACCCTTTGGGACATACGCAATCAAAGTTAGTGTGTTGAATGGATGGTGAGCTTGCCCACAAAAGCTTTGTCTAGGTCTT